TAACAGAAACCCTCAAACTAGATTAAATCTAAACTCTATAATTAATAACAACAAAAACAAAAGTAAGATAACCTTGAGGGGTATAGTTCAAATGATCGTTTACTTTCTAGAGATCATTAGTTCGAGTCTTATAAACCTTAGAGTTATTAGAGGTTTACATGGTCGTCGTTAACTTCAGAGTCTATAAAATTAGTCGAGGTACATGTAAGCTGAACCAGACACCAAAGTTAATTTTAAAAAATATATATGCTAATAATGTATGTAAGAATACAGTGTGAGGCTTACATTGCTAGAGACAGGGGAAATAGGAGCAGAAGGCAAAGACCATTTGGTGATATGAAATTCAAGACAAGCAAAGAGAGTCTTGATGAGTACATTGGCAGGGCCTGAATCATTTAAGAAGAGGAGGAGGAAGAAGAAAAAAAAAATATGGGTTTTTAGGCTGAAAAAAAATAGAAGAAAAGAAAATATGGGTTTTTAGGCTGAAAAAAAATCAGCTATGAAAAATATAACAATGCTCAAAAAGAGGGTCAATGAAAAAATTGTTATTGACCTTCTTGTTGTTGTCAACACCAGCAGAAGCAGGTGCATTATTTTTTATCTTTCATGGTGACCCAAACTTAACGGCCGCATCCATTAAGCATTTTTCTTTCCAAATTTATTATTTTTCAAAGTTACAAAAATCTGTATTTAAATTAAAAGTTTAGATGATATGATTAATTAGTTTTTCATATAATAAAAATAACCATAAATGATTAAATTTTCTTTTCTATTCCTACCAAAACAAAAACACCCTCCATCACTATGCATTCCTGCCAAAACAAAAACACCCTCCATCACTATGCTAAAAAATTAAAAGAAAAAAAGAAAAAAAAAGCGCACATATTCAGAGGCAATCCATCACGTCGAGGGGGTGAAGATGTGTTTAGTTGAGTCCAAAACCCGTTATGGTTAGCATGCTATTTGGACCATGGTTGCATACGAAGAAGCGACAAGGGCTTGGAGCTTTTAGGGAAGAATACTCGGGTCTCATGATTGATGCCGGAGGAACTCACCGAGCTTGAAGAGACAACCTGGCTGCAACCAAAGCTGAACGCACTAGCAACAAAGGTGTCTCCATTTTTTTCTTTTTTCTCTGTTGTGAAATAGTTTGGGCTATTAGAAACCTTTTCTAGACCGAGCAAGATCCTCACTGGGTCGATGTGCCATGGTCTTCTTGCCATACACTCACTCTGCCTCAACAATGAAACCAGTCCTATGGGTTCATTCTCAACAGTTCACAATTTATCAAGGCCCCTGAGATTAATTAACTATTAAGCCTTCTAATGAAGAGAAGTGCCCATTTCCTTTTTTCGGCTGAGCGAGGCACCCAACTAGGGACTGCATGCATCCATACAACAAAGGCCTCAAGCAATCGAGTCTGGCTTTCTACAAGATGGGCTGGATGACTGGCCTTATCAAGACAGTTTCGCACCTGCATACAAAAGGGCCTTCTGATATTTCCAAATGCCATGTGAGTTTTGATGTAACGCGTGCTCTGCTCCATGAAATGGGTGTTGACACGAAAAAATGGGTACCAAAACGGGCTCACCTTACTCCATGAAATGAATACGCAGATATAAGCAAGTTTCAGAGCTATTCTGCTGATAGAAACAAACATGTGACAGCGCAAACGTAGCTTATCTCTTGGATGGTTACAAAACTAGGCTCACCAAATACTAGCTTTCATTTTCTTAAATCCAATCACCAACAATCTCGGGCCCATGATTTGTAGCGGCTGCAACAAGGCCATAAAGCTATTTCTTGCAGAGCGATAACCGCAACAGAAAAGGTTTCATCATCCGCGTTATGATCCCCAATCTCATTTTCTTAGAACCCAGACACCAACAATCTCCAACTAGCCCCATGATTTCGCAAAAGGTTTTATCATGTGCATTGT